ATATACTAAGTCCTCGGGTGTTTTTATTTGTGGTTGAGATATCTGTTAATTACATTGTTCAGGTAATCAATTTCTAGTTTTATCTATTTGTTAAATTTGTATTATAAATAGTTATGGTATATTTAGGAGGAAATATTTATGCCTCTTAAGTTATGACATGTAATTTTAAAGAATAGAACTTGAATTAATGGTAATAAAAATACATCTCTTAGGTTGGAATCACTATTATACAATGATCTGAACTATGTTGTAATTATCTTGTAGTATTATTTTGGTGACTTCAATTTGCCGCGGGACAAATTTTTAAAGGAACAGATCAAACTGGATGAAGGCTGGGTACCTTTGGAAATAATGATAAAATTCAATAGGTAAAACCCTTTTCAAAACCATTTTTAGATTTTCTGTTAACAAGGTGCTAGTACTGAGTGTCAGTGTTTTCGTACATATTCTTCAGGTTAAACCGTCTGACAACAGACTTCAATGTAATAGTAGAAGCACTGAGCAAATCGAAGGCAGAACTCATGGAGATAAGTGAAGATAAAACCAAAATTAGAAGATCTCCAAACAAACCCCTCCCCGAAGTGACGGATGAGTATAAAAATGATGTAAAAAACAGATCCGTTTATATTGTAAGTGGGCCTTTAATGCATTTAATTATATCTTAAATTTAGAAAGAATGGATAATAGAGTTGGTAAAAGTAACAGCTCAGGAATCATAACTTCACTACTTACTGTATGTCCCTCACCACTTACTATATGTTCTTCACCTCTTTAAGCCTCATCTACATATATGGGGATAATATTTTTACCTTACAGAACTGTTGTGAGAGTTAAATGAAAAACCCATATACCACTGGACAAAATCATTAACATATTGTAAGCACCAGTGTATATCACCTGTTCTTATTTATCATCAGCTGAACTTGATAGCAATTTTCTTTAGTACATTAATTTTAAAGTTTTTTATTGTGGAAAATTTCAGGCTTACAAAAGTAGATTGGATATATAATATTCCATTGTTTAACTTCAATACTAACACATGGTAATCTTGCTTTATCTCTGACCCAATTGGATTATTTTGAATCAAACCCCAGATAAAAGAGTAACTTTTGCCCTGGAGAACAAAGGCTCTTAACTAGAGCTGTTAAACATTTAGGGAGGGAGGGTAGGAGGTAGCGACATCCTGGCTTTATTCAAGGCAAAATAATTTAGAATTTCTTCCTAATTGTTTTATCTGAGAAGTCATTTGTACATTTCCTGGTCACAGAAAGGCTTCCCTACTGATGCCACCCTTGATGACATTAAAGAATGGTTAGAAGATAAAGGTCAAGTACTAAATATTCAGATGAGAAGAACATTGCACAAAGCATTTAAGGTATGGTGTATGATTTAACATACTTTCTAGTTGAAAAATATATGGGACGTAACTAAAAATTTCTTTCCCTTTTAAAAGGGATCAATATTTGCTGTGTTTGATAGAATCGAGTCTGCTAAAAAGTTTGTGGAGACCCCTGGACAAAAGTACAAAGACACAGATCTACTAATACTTTTCAAGTAAGTGTTTTTGCTTATGTTTCTTCTGGGCCACTTAGTTATATGGAATTGACACCCTGGGCTAAGGAATATGGAATGGGATCACTTACAAGGCCAGTAATTTTGGTAACCACAGGCATCCTGTGAGAAATGCTTGAAATTTGCTTAGTGGAAACTATTAGTCCTTTGAAAAAATATAGAAGTGTTTATTAGTACCTTTTCTCTGTTAGCAGTTAATAAAGGAGGTTAAGTTTTACTGGTTTACATCTAAAACTTACAATCAGGTTGGATACTAAAATTTGGGCTTTTAGTGTTAGAAGATAAATCACTATACAATTTTTTATCTATTCTTATTTCTCATAGTCTATATATGCCTATATTTTTATAATGCCTGTATTTTTGTAATGCCTATATTGTACGTCTGAAATTTATATAGGCATATATACAGAGGATTGTATAATAGAAATTTGGATCACATTCTTTAATATGTGTGTCTAAAAACTTGAACAAACCAGAGCATTTTCATGATTAAATTAGATGTGCGACCATAGTTTCCTACTTTTGCATTACACAGTATTCTAAATATGCTGTGTTCTAAACCTGGTGTACTTAGAGATGCACTGTGATGAATTGCTCAGTGTTAAGCCCGAAAAATTTTAAGATTTTATTTATTTATCTTAGAGGGGAAGGGAAGGAGGGGAGAGAAACATCAATGTATCTCGCCCCCCCCCCACTTGAAAAGTAATTTTTAACATGAGTTTATAATTGTTCTTATTCTTGGGTCTCAGGGATTTTAGAATTTTCTCTTTTTGTGAGATGAACACTGTAGAAAACTCCAAAACATTAAAATGTTTTACATAACTTCTGGTTTTCTTTTTTTTAAATACCTGAATGATACATGAGATGTGTGGGTTCTTTTTAGGGTCATGAAAATGTTCTGAAATTAGATAACAGTGATATTTGTACAATCTGGGTAAGTTAAAAAGGCATAGAATTACACGCTTTTAAAACAGTGAATCGTATGGCATGTGAATTATTTCTTAGTAAAGCTGTTATTTTTTAAAAAATATCGAATGGTAACTTCCTTGACATCTTTCGAATTTTGTGCCATGTCTTAATCATTCAAAATAATTTGAAATATTCTCATAAATTTAGCCTCTATGTTTTGTGTCCTTTAGGGAAGATTACTTTGCAAAAAAAAATGAAGAAAGAAAGCAAAATAAAGTAGAAGCTAAATTACGAGCTAAACAGTAAGTAAATAGAGCTACTAAACTTTTTTCTTTTTAATCCTCACCTGAGGATTTTTTTAATTTTAGAGAGAAGGGGGGAGGGGAGAGAAAGAGAAAGAAACATCGATTGGTTGCCTCCCCTACACACCCTAACCAGGGATTGAACCCTCAAGCTTTTGGTATACTGGACAGTGCTCCAATCAACTGAGCTACAGGGCCAGGGCTAACAGAACATTTTAATTCCTTAAATCTTTGACAAAGGTAGTGGTTCTGGGGAATGAAGCTGATGATGACCTCTGAAATGAGTATCAGTAGGCCTTTTTTTTGCTCATGAAACATTGAGGTCTTAAGCTGCATCAATAATCTGGGGTGACATTGTATTGCACTGTATGTAGCACTGGACAATCAAATCCTAAGACCGGCTTTGGTTATTGAGTAATTTAGTGATAATGATCAAGATGAACTCTATCAGGGTTAATTTTCTTATATATAGTAAATGGAAACATTCAATTATATCTTTTATTTGTAGAGAGCAAGAAGAAAAACAAAAATTAGCAGAAAATGCTGAAATTGTAAGTATGTATTACTGGTATCTTAAATCTGTAATTCAGGGCTATGAGAATAAAAGGTCTATAGATTTTATAGAAAATCTATATATGCATTACAGTAAAGTAATAGCCAAATACTATTGCCTAAAATTAGTATTTACCCAGAAATAATTTAAGAATCAGATTTATATAACTACTATTTGTTGGAGAAATTCAGTTAAATCAGAAGTCATTGCAGAACAAAGGATGAGAGAGGAAATACACCAAATGTTAAACTACTCAAAATAGCATTTTAGTTTGTAGCCTTTTCCTTATATAGGTATAGAGTGGTGTAAGCCGTTTATGATTTGTGGTAGCTTTTAAGAAACTTACTGCCTTGTATATTTTCATAGAAATCTCTAGAAGAAAAGATTGGCTGCTTGCTGAAATTCTCGGGGGACCTAGATGATCAGACCTGTAGAGAAGATTTGCACATCCTTTTCTCAAATCATGGTGAAATAAAATGGATAGACTTTGTCAGAGGAGCAAAAGAGGTTTGGAAACAGTTTTCCAATGTTGAAAATCCATAGAAGTTTGTCTTTTAGATGAAATAATTAGCAAAGAGAAAACATTTTTTAATGGTGTTGAAAGTAGTTTATTTAATTTAATCCATTTTGTTGTTGCTGTAATTCCATATGATGTATGATTATTTTCTGTTACACTGTGAATAATTTGTGGATCAGTGACTGCAAGTTTTGTAGCAGTTTCCTTCCTGATGTTCACTAAAATTCATTGAAAATGGTGATGGCATGGAAGATTTTGTAGGCTAGGAAAAATTACTTTGAAGGAATTAACTGTGGGAGCAAAAACTTAGGGTGTGGCCTTTTGTCTTTGATGTAGGGAATAATTTTATTTAAAGAAAAGGCTAAGGAAGCACTGGATAAAGCCAAAGATGCAAATAATGGTAACCTACAACTAAGGAACAAAGAAGTGACATGGGAAGTACTAGATGGAGATGTGGAAAAAGAAGCATTGAAGAAAATCATGGAAGATCAACAAGAATCCCTTAACAAATGGAAGTCGAAAGGTCACTAGTTCTGGTTTTTCTGACAGTGTGGTTATTTAAACTCATTTGCTTGAGTAAAAACTATAATAATTGTTCAAAGACAAGGAATTTAAAACATTTCTTTATTGATCTCTCAATTGTCTCTGCAGGTCGCAGATTTAAAGGAAAAGGAAAGGGAAATAAAGCTGCCCAGACTGGGTCTACTAAAGGAAAAGTACAGTTTCAGGGCAAGAAGACTAAATTTGATAGTGATGAGGAACGTGATGAAAATGGTGCAGCTGGTAAGTTTTTTAAAGTCTTTGCTACTTCTACAAGAAATTATTTGTGGGAGAAAAACTGATGTGGTTTTTCAGTTTCTGTATGAATGACATTCTTGGATTGTGATTTACCCCACTTATGCTGGTTTACAAATGATAACAAGGATATTTGGAAGATAAGTTTAGAAAGCAGAAGGTTTTGTAGTAAGAAAAAGCTTTTTCTTGTTGGTAATTATGCTCAATATTAAAATAGAGTACCCCTTACAGCGAACTTAAAAATTATTTCTGTTCCTGTACAGGACCAGGAAAAAGAGCAAGAGAAGAAACAGACAAAGAAGAACCTGCCTCAAAACAGCAGAAAACAGAAAATGGGGCCGGAGACCAGTAGTTTAGTAAAAAACTTTTTATTCATTTTAATTAGGTTTTCAGCTTGCTTTTGTCTTTGGAGGCTTTTAAAAAGAAAACCGAATTAGGTCCACTTCAATGTCCACCTGTAAAAAAGGAAAATTTTTTGTTGTTTAGCTTGTCTCTTTTTCTGTTAATCCAAATGAGGATATTTTTGATGTACAGTTCTATGTTATTTCAGATAACTCAAATATCAGAAGATTCTTGTACTAAACTGCCTTTGTAATATGAGAATGTATTAGTACAAACTAATAAAATATACTATATAAAAAGAGCAAAAACTTAGGTTTTTTTTTAAATTTTTGCGTGAAGTATTTGAGAATTTATTTTAAACCAGAGTATTGGCTGTTGGTTATAGGCCATTCCATAATCTGTCTCCCAGGCTGGCTTTCTGCATTTACTTGGGCAACTTGGTAGCATTACAAATAATTACTTATTGTAAAGTTCAAGAGACTTACTGATTTCTTTTTATGAAATCTGTATGATGCTGGCAGGTCATATCTCAGCTCTATAAAACAAACAAACAAAAAAAGCCACCTAAGGATAAAAATTTTATTTCCAAGCATTTACCACCCTTGACTAAAAACCACCCCATGAATTAAGAAAGCACTTGAAAGCTGGTAAAAATGAAGACTCCAGGCCTGTCACATTAACTTGGTATCCAAGGACTGCCATGATGAATCCCAAGATTAACCATGGCAAGTTGAGTTTGGCATTTCTGCTATTTTGATCATTTATATGAAAATTTGAGCTTATCGGGAAGAGTTTACAAAGGATAACAAATGGACAAAAAGATATATCCTACGAAAATGATAGTACCCTTCCTATTTTTAATTTCCTAATCTATAGCTAGCACTCTCATAATTGCTTTAAAATTTTGTCTGGATTTTAGTAATGATAGTAACTAATTGTTTTCCTACTAAACTCAATAAAAAACCATTTTTTCATATTCATTCTAAAGAATAATGTAAGTTCTCCAAACTTACTACTGATCTGTTTCAGAGGGATGAAAATGAGTCTACCTATCCCTTCATATTTTACAACATAAATTCTAACTCTAGGTCACAGCTCTTAAATTTTAATATGCAGTCAAATCACCTTCAAATAAAATATTATTGAGGTGCAGGATATAATTCAGTAGGTTTGGGCAGAGACTAAAATTCTGCAAGTCTGACAAGCTCCCAAGGGCTATCAACACTGATGATCTAAGGACCACACGTGGAACAGTAAGGCCCTGGTTTGGTACACTGCTGGATCTGTTCTAAGGGGCTCTGTGTTGTATATTCTTATATCTTAAACTACGTAAGGAGTGACAATACTGAATATAATAGGAAGACTGACCTTTCACACATTACTAATTAAGAATTAATAGATCTAGTTCTATGGTAATGCCATAGTTTTAACTCATAGTTTATTATCATGTAAAAAAACCATTTCCCCATTATTTACTGTATGTGTGTTTCAGGTTTTACAAAATTGGATTACAGTTAGCTTCTTGTATGCTTCCCCATTTTGATGTTTGTGAATATTGTCCAATTTACTAATAAAAATGTAATAAGCATGATTTACTCAGTGTGGATGAATATATTCTATTCCCCACTTTAAAAAGTTATTTGACTTCAGGGGTGATTAGAAAATTGAAATAGAAAGGCAACCCAGGCATAATCTGGTGGTATTTTCCAAAAATGGATTTCAAACTGCTGTTTGACCTACTCTAACCCAAACTTCAGCCACTGTAAAGCAGCTGCACAAGGTTCTGTCTGAGCCTAGAGTGCGCAATACTTGGGTATTAGACATTATTATTAAAATGAATACATAAATTGGGACAGTCTTGGCAAACATTAATACTGCCTTTACTCCATTTGCTACCCTTTACAACCATGTCCATTTGCCACACTAAAAACATGATTTACAGTTTCTTCTCAGTACCTGTATAAAAATTCTGGTTTGGCTAATGCATTTGGCTTTCTTAGATAATTGAGATTTGTTTTATGAGAAATTTGAAAATTGTCTTACCTGCAATGATGTCTATCTTGATTTTCCATTCTGCAGCTTTCTTTTGAATATGCTGAACATAATGACATGTTCATGTGAACTGATTTTTAATTTTTAAAAAAATTCCTTTTTAACACTTGGTAATAAATTTTCAAGCTTTTAAAACTTCATTAGAATTTAGACCCTTAATTTTTTTTCAACTGAATGGATAGTATTAAGAAACCAAGCCATTTCAATACATTTAACTGAGACAAATTATATAATCAAATCCAAATCACAAAGCTGTTATTTCAGAAATACATCAAAGTGCACAATGTACTCAAATGGTTTCTGCAGCATTACTTCATCAATATATACAAGTATAACTATCCTGGAAATCATTCAACAGAGACCATCCCTTGGCAGTATGGTGTAGTAAAGAACGTGGTCTATGGAACAAGACAGCCAGCACTTGAACTGCTGCTCTGCTATGTACTGGCATTGTAACCCTGATCTTATCTTTCTGTGCCTCAGTCCATCTGTTAAATGAGGACAATAGTGGTATCTCATCAGATTGTTGTGGAATGTGAAAAGTGCTCTGAACTGTTCTGGCTCACGTAAGTACTAAATGTTACCTATTTACAGGTCAAATTCTTGAATCACTTCATAAAATTTTTGGTTAATTATAAGAATTGCTTTATGAATTTTTAAAGTAATATATACAACACTTCAACATTAATGGAAATGGAAAAAAGTTGCATATAATCCCTTAAATTATGTATATAATTATCTAGAAATACTACAAATCTAGAGATCAATATTTGGTATTATAAGTATTTTGTTCATCTTGGCAGTGTTTGTAATACTTAATTGGCATCAAGCAGGTGGATAACTTTCCCTAAATTATAGGTTCAAATATTCCCATTATAAACAATACTGACAATATGTTTATGCACGCAGTTTTTTTTTTTGAATTTAATAAATCCCAATTTTGTGCATATTTTCCCATTTTGAGATCTAGAATTTCTGTATAAGGATACAGACTTTAATGCAAATAATACTGTAATTTAATGGACTCTCAGGATCTTTGATAAATTTGAAAGAAATAAATTACGATGCCATTTCTTTGCTAGCTGAGCCCTAAGATTGGTGAAAGTGTTTAGACATTAGATTATACAGTAGAATGTGGCTGGTCCTGGCAGAGATGTCAAAGTATGAATTGGGTAAGTTTGGGATAAACATTGAGAGAACAGCGCCTGTCTTTTTGCTTTAACTATGAGCCAGGAACTAAATCCTCGAAATGCTTAATGAAGAAAGATATGGCCACAGCCTTGAGAGTCACAGCTTGCTTGCATATTTGCCAGGATACTTACATTTTACTTAATTATTTCTACCAAAAAATTACTCTACAAAAGTACCTATATTATAGAGGGCAAGCACTTTTAAAGACAAAGGGTCTATGGTTAAGAGGTATGGGGTAAGCTTCAGCGACAATTACTAATTATATAGAATATTTAAAATAAGCAAAAGTACCACAAGCTTAATAGTGACTGTCTTAATATTAGTTCATTCCTAACCATACCTCCTTCATTTATGCATAATATAGAGCAAATTAATTCTTTAAATTACTATTTCCTGTACTACTGGAAAATATGTACTAAATAAAAATGTACTTAATATATGCTTAAAATTCAACCATTAAGCCTGCCAAGGCAATGCTGATAATGCTACTTTTTAATAGTGGAACATGGTAATACCAAACAACAAAGATGGGAGTTCCTTGGTAATTCCCGTGATTACAGGAATTCAATAATTAGACTTTGCTTAGTTGCATTTTTAAAAAAGATTTTATTTATTCATTTATTTTTACAGAGGGGGGAGGGAGGGAGCAAGAGGGAGACAAACATCATTGTGTGATTGCATCTCACACGCCCCCTCTGGGGACCTGGCCCACAACCCAGGCATGTGCCGTGACTGGGAATCAAACTGGTGATCTTTTGATTTGCAGGCTGCCACTCAATCCACTGAGCCACACCAGCCAGGGCTTAATTGCAGTTTTTACTGGCATATTTTACTTCGTCTGCATGAACTATATATGAGTAATATAAAATTTGTTATTTCAAGCTGTGAAGAAATGAGCAAAGCAGGCCTGACTGTTTATCTTTAGAAAAGACCTGCATATAAGGTTGGCCCTTGGCTGGAATATGGGACCTTCGATTTTGGGAGGGTTTCCATTCCCTATCCCCTTAGATGATACACACACTGTGCTTTAACACCTGTTTTTGCTGCTAGGAGGCTGGAATTTGGGTTTGTGCCAGGCAGGGGTAGGGGTTCTTACATGATCAGCCCTCAGTAAAAATCCTGGGCACTAAATTTCTAATGAGCTTCACTGACTGACAGCTTTTGATACGCCTGTCACCAAAATTCACTGCTGGGAAAATCCACTATTTCCCTTGTGACTTCACTAGGAGAGAACTCTGGAAGCTGCACCTGGTTTTCTACTTTGAACTATGTACCTTTCCCTTTGCTGATCTTGCCCTGTATCCTTTAGCTGTAATAAATTACAGCCATAAGTATGACTGCATTGTGAGTCTTGTGAGACTTCCTCAAGATGCATCAAACCTGAGGATGGTCTTGAGGACCTCAACACAAGCTTTTTAGATACCAATAATAACTGGTGTTTGCTTTCACACATCAAACAGAGATTTGTTGACTAGTAAAGTCATGTATTCTGCTGCTTACCTAAATTTGGTACCAGTACATATTTTTTAGCCATACAATTTTATATTTTTAAGGGGTTATTAGATTGCCATACATCCAGAACTTACTGTTTCCAACTGGATCCCAGCACACCATACTTATAGAAATATTTTTACTATAAAACTACTTAGAAATCTCTAATACATGTATTAAATTAATAATAGCTAGTAGCAATCACATATTCTAAATACTAAGTGCTTTGTAAACAGTAGCTCATTTAATTCTCACAACAACCCTCAAAGTATAAGGTACTCGTAGTTCCTTATACTACAAGAGTACAGGTAAATACAGTATAGGTGATGAAACTGAATTCAAGTACCTTCACCAAGGTAATAGCTGGGAAGTAGCAGAGTTTAGAAATGAACATAAGCAGTCTTACTCTGTCATCTGTGTTGTTGGTCACTATGTTATTCTGATACCAAAAAAATGTACCAACCCATCCCCAATTTTCTGGAACACACCTGATACACCCCACGTGTCAAATACTGGCAAGAATAACGGAAGAGGTGGGTTATAAACACAGATCCATTTAACTCCAGGCTCAGTGGTTTTTTTTTACATTCTTAAAAAATTTAATTATCAGGCTCAGTGTTCTTGAAAGACCAGGCCTTACTGCCTTACTTATGTGCACCAGGCCACACAAGGCCACTGGGCTACAGGCATCAATCAAGAGTTGCCCAGGCAGCCCTGGCCAGGTGGCTCAGTGTGTTGGAGCATCTTCCTGTACACCGAAAGGTTGCAGGTTCAATCCCTGGTCACAGTGTGTAGGAGAGGCAACCAATCAATGTTTCTCTCTCACATCGAAGTATGTTTCCCTGTCCCCACCACCTCTTTCAAATCAATCCTCAGGTATTACAAAAAAAAAAAGGACCGAGGCAAACAGGCCAGAGTTTAACCCTAGTTATATCATACTTCTCTACTCCTGAATTATAGTCTCTTTCCTGGTAACAGTTCCTGCCTGAGCAAATATTTGACCAAAAAAACAAAACCAAACCCGAACAACAGCAACAATAAAACCCAAACCCCTCCAAACCCCCAAAACAAAAAAACCCCTCACCCGTATATGGGCTATGGAGTCCAACCTGCGGTCCATGGGCTGCTTGAGGCCCAGGATGCCTATGAAGGTGGCCCAACACAAAATCATAAATTTTCTTAAAACCTTTTTTTGATTATCAGTTTTTTGTTAGTGTTCGTGTGGCCCAAGACAACTTTTCATCAAGTGTGGTCCAGAAAAGCCAAAAGGTTGGACACCCCAAAAGGTTGGACAGCCCAAGAAAGCTATCACAAACGCTAGTAGTTAAAGGGAAAATTCAGTTTCTAAGTGACTGATGTTAAAAAAGATCAGGAAAAATAAATACTCTAGTATTCAGATTTTTAACAGTAAATAAATTTCACAGCAAATCCTTAAAACAGTGTCATGAATTTAAAATTAAATGACACAGATTTGAACTTACTTCTCTAGTTGAGGATTTGTGTAAAGAATATACTGCTGTTCTTGCCAATTCCAAAGCAGTCTTCAAAAATGCCATATCTGTCCCTGTTAAGAGTACAAAAAGCTCCAATTTATATTGTATACCTTTTATCAAAATAGAAAATTAAATGAATTTTAATTTACACAAGGTATTAATAAATACCAAAATAGCCACTTCAAATTCTCTCTGCAGAAAGACAGGGTATAAATAAGCAACACACCTAAATATCTAAAAAGGTTGATAGAATAAAACCAGAATTATACTGCCTTATTTGAATAAGGATAAAGTAAATATTTTAGTATTATATCCCAAAGGAATGACTTTCAAAGAGAGAACGGAACAGACAGAGCATTAATCAGAGTTGTGTGGGGGTGAGGGGTGCGGGGAGGACTTAACCTATGCATCCTCCCATCTTACTGACTTTCTACTCTCCTTGCCCACCGCACACACAAAATAAAAAGCTAGTGAGTCACTGGTACTGATGGACACATGATGAAACCCTCAGGTGTGCTAAGGCATTAAAAAAAGTTCTGAAAGTATAAAATACTTTATAGGATTCATAATCATTCATAAGGGTTAAGTAAAGCGTTCTTGAAACCAGATGGAATATAAATAAATGAATTAAAAAATATTTTTCATTTAGTACAAATTTGTGACAACAAAGATTGAAACATTCAATTCCCTATCCATGTGTTATACAAACTGAAATTGTAGTAACTGCAGGTAAGAAATTGGTTTAATGACAAGTGACAAAATCACTTAACCTGAACAATCAGCAAACAAGAGGTTTTCAAAACCAGTACCCCTCATTCTTATTACTAACCTTTATTATTTTTGGTCCCAAAGGGAGGATTCATAATTACTATATCAAATGACTTGGACATTCTGTTAGATAATGAGCACACATCACATTGAACCATGTCAACATTTGTTAACTCGAACTCCTCCACATTCCTATGAAATATTTCCAATGCATCTTCATCTATGTCAAATCCAACACACAACCTATGAATACAAAACACAGAGTGACTAATTAACAGATTCTAAGTCAAACTATTAACACAATCAAAACCATATACATTTTTAACCCAACTGGTAAAGTAAGAGTCAGTGTTCCTTTTCAATGGCATGACTGCCCAGCCTGGCAGGAGCTGGAAAGTTAGGTCTGCAAACCAGGCACGTATCTGGTTGCTACTGTTAGGTTTGTTTTTTTTTCCAGTTTGTTCTGCTCATTCAAAATGTACTCATTATCAGATTCTTGCTGCCCTCATCTCATACTACTAAGTTCCATAAATATAATCAGTTGATCTATTTATGCTTATTAAAGCCACCCCATACCAAATAGTACATACTGGATCACCTACCCTGCTCCTAACATTGCAGTTCCGATGCTAAGTACTCCACAACCACATCCTAGATCTGCAACCACTTTATTTTCAATGTCATCATATGTGTTATGAATCGTATAGAGCATACATGCTAAAAGATCAAAGAACATATTAAAGAATAAGCAAGTTGAAGACCAAAATCCAATTTGTCCCTATGATTCTTTAAAATAATTTGTCTTGCATTATCTAGTCCTCCCCCAAATGCTAGATAATGAAAAAAGAACCCCCCCAAAAAACCCATAAGACATAACAGCTTGGCACATAGTATGAGGGCCCACAACAAAATGATAAAACACATACCAGTGATTTCCAAAAACTAGTCTCTGCTGACAATACCAAAATGACAAGACTCTGAGGTAAAATGAGTAACATAAGGTCAAAATGTCTTATATTTCCTCAGCCTGTTCAAAACATTGCTATACACAATATATTTATTGTGTTCTTAATATATTTATCAGTATTCTTTGATGCTGAAATATTTTTATGGAATGGTGGTAAGTATAAATAGGTTTAACAAATAACCTTCCTTGGAAATGGCCTAAGCACCCCTCAGTAGATGAGTGGGTAAAAAAGCTGTGGTACATTTACACAATGGAATAGTACACAACAGTAAAAAAAGAAGAAACTCTTACATTTTGTGACAGCATGGATGGACCTGGAGAATATTAGGTTAAGTGAAATGAGCTAGTCAGTGAAAGGCAAATGCCACATGACCTCACATATTGTGGAATCTAACAAACACCATGAACTAACGAACAATACAGAAACAGACATGTGGAACAGACTGACAGCTGCCAGAGAGGAGGGGGAAGACTGGATGACAGATGGTGACGGGATTAACCAAAGAACATTTATGCACGAACCATGGATGCACAGTGATATGCAGATTGACTTAGGGAGGGCAGAGATGGGGGCTGAGTGGTGGTGGGAAAAGGGAGAAAAAGTGGGAACAACTGTAACGGTATATATAATTTAAAACAACCTTTAGGAAAATAAAGATAAATTTTAAGAAACAACAAAAAAATTCTTTCCTTGTTAATTCATAAACTTGGCAACCATGTATAATAATTTCATAATAATTTTCAAAATTATTATGAAATTTTACTGATTTGTGAATCTGGGAAGCATAGCATTAACATTAAAATGGCACAGAACTTTTTTTGCAACAAATTTGTCGCCAGAACAGTTACCATAAGCTTAAGCTAGAACAGGAAAGGAAAAGACCTACATCCACAATGTAGCCTTTAGACTCATATATTCAGACACATTTATGATCCATGGGCACTTATGTTTATATTCTACTAATATGAGCAGATAAGAACTATTAAGGAGTACAGCGGAAGCTGCTGAGATTGGAAAGGGATATTTCAAACACATAAAGATCTGGGATATACTGAAGGTTACCCATGAGTAAGAACACTGATATCTCCTTGTGGATATCTGCAAGGACTACTGGCCATCATCACTGATGCCCCAGGATCCAGAGGTTTCATCAAAAACATAATTACAGGATATCTCAGGCTGAATGCACTGTCCTGATTATTGCTGCAGGTGTTAGTGACTTTGAAGCTGGTAGAGAATTAGCACAAAGCCCTGGCCGCGTAGCTCAGTCAGAGTCTCATCCCAATAGCCAGGGTTTTGGTTCGATCCCCAGTCAGTGCACATACAAGATGAACCCAATGAATACATAAACCAGTGGAACAGAATGATGTTTCTCTGTCTCTAAAAATCGATGAAAAATAATAAAGTAAGCATTAGCACACAAGTGTGAAACCGTCTTTTTAAAAAATTGGATTCGACTTAGAAACCCTATAACCAGAAGACATTATCTAAATTGAGTAAACTGGTCTTAGAAAGTTTTGTGCCAATTTTTGGTTTAAATTTTGACAATATGTTGGTGTTAAGTGCAGGAATGCATGTATTTTCCTTTACTTTCATTGGCAGCATAGAAACAAAATTATGTTGGAGTTGGACGACTTTCTTTGCTGGTACTGCTGACAAATTAACTTTCCTAAGACTCATCAATAACTTTGGTAATACATTTATTAAATAGAATGGTTTTTCCTATATTCTCTACTGTATTACTGGTATCAGTCTCTCACATGCATCCTCATATTTACACAGCACCTATTCTGGATTTGTTAAACTTAGTCCTTCGACTAGCAAATCTAGTATTCATTTATAGGGCAGAGTACAGCATAGAAATCTCTGTGAGGACAATTTGTTGTACTAGGAAATTGATCCTCATTTGCCAAATATTTGATGAGCTCCTTATTAGTACCAGAAACTCTTCAGGCACTGGGAATTGTGTGAACAAACTCTTTGACCTCAAGGAGTGTACCGTGTAATGAGAGAAACAAACACATTAACATGATGTCTCACAGTGTTGAGGGATATACAAAAACCAAACAGTAAAATGACAACGTGTATCTCTAGGGGCGTTATTAGTTTTGGTATTAACAAAGTCCTCTAACGGGATAGGTAATCTTTCAGTAGATTTCCTCTAGACGGTCTTTGTAACTAAATAATTGTTCTCATTTCATTATGGAGTAAATAGACAAGACTAACCAACCCGCGCAGCAAAGGACCAGCCGCCCTACCTGCGATGTGAGGCCTGGTGGGATACTGTTCTAGAAATAGCTTAGGCTTTTCGAATCCATCCACTTGTTGCAGGCGACTCTCTAGTTCCTTAAGCCTTAATTTCTTCATTTTAAAAAAAGGCGTGGGCTCTCCGGGTTTAAAGGCACTGGATCTGCAGAGAAACCCATTCAACCTGAAGCTCCCTTACCCCCAAACCCCCCGCCCATTTCAGCGCTGCTAGCCAAGGGGCTGGACCAGGGACAAAGGACACTAAGGACACAAGGACCCAGACTGTTTCCACTCCTCTGCGCTACCGGCAGACGGACTCTTCCGCCAGCCTCTGATCCCCGCCCTGCCTCCATCGTATCACGCGCGCACCTCGGGATTCTCGAGCGGCCGCTCCCACCTGCATTTATGGTACAGCGTCGGAACATTTCAAGATGCGGCTCACGCCACCGCCGGGGCCGGAAGCGCCACTACGCACGCGCGCGCTCGCGTCTGCCCGCAGCGTGGTCCCACGCCGAGCTGCAACTACGGCCCGCCTCACTTGTTCCGGAGCAACTTGACCTCCCCATCCACCTCCATCTGGTTCGGTTCTCACCACCCGTAGAGTCGGCCCTTTTCGCAGCCCCCAAGTCGGTCCCCGCCATTACCTTCCAGCTTTTTTTTTTGAGTATCAGCAGGTTCTGAAAGGATAGGGGAAGAAAGCGGGTGGAAATGACGGAGAAAAGAGGGTGAAAATCACGACCATTTCGTTTTGATGCCCAGTGTGGCGCTTTCAGCCTTCTTTCTCCCAACTTCCCTCTCAAAAAGTAGCAATCCCCTTACCGTTGCCTCCTTGACCATTAGCATGTCCTACTTTATTATAACCGCGTTTCCTTCTTTTTAGGTCACCTGTGCCACTTACCTCAAATCTTACAGGGTGGTGATGTCAGAGAAGCCCAAAGAAGAGAGTTTAAATGAAGGACTAGGTGGAGGTGTCAAATGCTGAAAAGAGGTCAGGCTTTCGTAGAGTAGGAGCAGAAACCAAGTTGTAGTGGATTTTGAAGTGAATGGAAGTTTAGGAAGTAGAAACAGTAAATGTGAGCAATTCTTAAGAAACGTAGCTACAAAAATACATGGATCGTGTATTTGTAAGGTTGGGGGAAGGAAGCTGCCTCTTCTTTTTCTTCTCTCTCTCTCTTTAACGATAGGAGTGAATGTGAATTTAGCTAAATTCGGACAGATTAAATATAATAGAAAGGCAGCGGTTCAAAATACAAGAAAGGTATTGGGCGGAGTTAGTATCCTGAGAAGTAGGGTCAGTGCTTAAGTGAAAAGATTGCCTTTAATCTGCGAAATGGACCCTTCAGCTCATTATTAAAGGAAGAAAAGGAGGAGTAGATGAATGAGGATGAAGTAGAGGGGGTCGTGTCTGAGATTGCTGTTTCCTATGAAAAGTAGAATTCAAAGTTATCTGTTGGGAGTATTATATAAAGTTCTTGCACATAAAGTTCTTTGTCCCATAAAAAATGCCCAATTAATGTTAGTTGTTGGTGCTGGGTGGTTATCTGTCGAGACGGAGGTGGCTGGAGTAAGGAGCCGAATGAAATGGATGACTGAAAGTAGCTGGATGTATGGAAGGAATATTGATCAATCTGTGGTTGAAGGTTGATTTAAAAATTGATTAAAATTTTTTATTTTGAGATCATTGTAAATTCATATGTAATCATAAAAAATAGCACATAGAGATCCTGTATCCTTTTAAATCAGTTTTCCCCAATAATAACACTTAACAAAACTGTTGTACAGATACAATCAAGACAGCATTTCCATCACCACAAATATCTTTTATTTTGCACTGTTTTAGTTGAGCAATGTATGAGGGTTCCAAAGTCTGCATATCCTTACCAACACTTGCTACTTTACATTTAAAAAAATTATAGCCATCTTAGCAGGCATAAAGTAGCAATTCATTGTGGTTTTGATTTTCATTTCTCTGATGGTTAGTGATGTTGAACATCTTTTAATGCTTCTTGACCATTTCTGTAGCTTCTTAGAATAAATAACAATGCAAATCCTTTGCTTATTTTAAAATTGTGCTCAGGCTGTCATTGTTGAGTTGTAAGAGTTCTTTTTATATTCTGGATTCAGATGCATGGTTTGCAAATTCTCCCATTCTGTAGGTTGTTTTTTTACTTTCTTGATAGTGTCTCTTAGCATGCAAAGATTTTTTTTATTTTCGATGATGTCCAAACCTATTTTTTAGGTGTCATATCTAAGAACATGCTGCCTATTCAAGGTCATGAAAATTTACTCTTAAGTGTTCTTTTAAGTTTTTCAGTTCCAGTTTGTACACTTAGGTCTTTCATTGATCCTGAGTAGTTTCTTTGTATGTGATATGAGGTAGAGGTACAATTTTATTCTTCTGCATGTGGATATCCAGTTGTCTCAACCCTATTGAATAGACTGCTTTCTCTCACTGAATGGTCTTGACATCCTTGTAGAGATCAATTGAACATAGATGTATGAGTTTCTTTCTGGACTCCCAATTTTTATTTTATGATGTATATGTCTCTCCTTATGCCAGTACTACACTATTTTAATTGTTATAGCTTTGTAGTGAGTTTTGCAGTGGGAAGTGTGAGTCTCTCAACTTTGTTCTTCTTTTTCAAGGTTGTTTTAACTCTCAGGGTCACTTGCATTTTCATATGAATTTTAGGATCAACTGGAAAATTTCTGCAAAATAAGCAGTTGGAATTTTCATAGAGGTTGCAATGAATCTGTAGGTCAATTTGGGTGAATTGCCATCTTAATAACATTGTTTTCTAATCAATGAACATGGATACCTTTTAAGTTATTTAGATTTTCTTTATGTTCTCTCAACAACATTTGATAGTTCTTAGTGTACAAGTTTTACATTTCTTTAAATTTATTACTAAGTATTTTTAGATGCTATTTTAAATTGAATTGTCTTCTCAACTTTAGTTTTAGATTCTTCATTGCTAGTGTAAAGAAATACAATTGATTTTTGTTATTGATCTTGTATCCTGTAGCTTTTCTAAACTTATCAGCTTTAGTTGTGTCTATGAATTTCTTTGTATTTTTTCTACACAACATCATGTCATCTGCAAATGGAAATAGTTTGCTTTTTTCTTTTCAATCTAGATGTCTTTTCCCCCCTTGCCTAATTGCTCTGGATAGAACCTCTAACAAAATATTGAGTAACAGTAGTGAAAATAGTCACCCTTTCTTATTCCTGATTTTAGAGGGAAAACTTTCAGTCTTTCACTGTTAAGTAAGGTGTTAGCTGTGGGTTTGTTATAGGTGCCCTTTTATTAGGTGGAGGAAGTTTCTTCAAAAACAATAGTTCTAATGCACTGTTCTTCAGAGTTGGTTTTTTTCTCCTGAAATATTGAGGCAGGAGCAAGGAAGGTCTGACAGTCGAATAGATTCACATAGTAGTTTTGACAGAGATATATGAACATGAGAGATGAGTAGGTATGATTGATAAGAGAATGGTTGTAGTGATTGACTAGAAGTCTGAGGCTAGATGGAGAAAGAAGTGAATATGAAAGGAACGAGAGTGAGGGGAACAAGATAGAGGGATGAGGACTTAATGGTATTATTTAATAGGTTTAATGGAAGAACAGGTGTGAGAGATCTAGACCATTAGAAGTTGAGTTCAGTTAAAATAATGGACTACTGAGGTTTAAGATTTGCATAAAGTACATGAGGCTGGAGGTTGGAGCAGTGACTGACTCAACCAGCACAAGGGATCTTTTTAAAGGTGATAGAAATATCTAAAACTGGATTTTGGTGATGTTTGCACATCTTATTAAATTATTTAAAATCTTTTGTATACTTTAAAAAAGTCACTAAAATGTCATAAAAGTGGGTTAAAATATATTAGAGTAAGGATCCATTGTGAGAGCTGACAAGGCTGAGGGAGAGGTGTTGAGAAGGGTGGGCTGCAGTGCAGCAGAGTGGGGAGAATGTCAGTGTCTGGGGGACCATCCATGTGAACCCTGAAATCTCCACAATGGTGGTGAGAGCTCAAGGTGTAGAGGAAAGCTGTCTATTGCCACCTCTTAAAAATGTAGAGGCAAGATTGAATTGAACAGAATATTGATAAAGAGGGTTAAAGAGTGATTTCATTGGATTCCACAAGACTTATAGGCTAGTACTTACCTCACATCACTAGGAGACCTTTTTGCTTAAACTTCAGTAGATGGGTTAGTAAAATCTGCTGTTAGTTCTGTGGAATAGACGTTGTCTTCATGATAAGTGGGAGTTACCATAGTAATCCCTTCTAATAGACAGTTAACAATTTATGTGAAGAAACCAAAGACAAGCATTCCAAAACTTTAGTAAAAATCACTAGCATGTATTGGCAGGGCTAACATAAAATAAGGGGAACAAAAGGAAGACAAAATACCAAGTGCTGGAGAGGCTGTGGAGCATGTGGATTTCTGACACATTGCTTGTGGGAATACAAAATGACTCGGTGTTCTTGGAAAATAGTTGGGCAGTTTCTTATAGAGTTAAACTTACATTTATCATATGAGTCAGCAATCTCACATATTTATTTACCCATGATACATGAAGACATATGTCTACAAAGAAACCTGTAAGTATATATTTATAATAGTTGATTCAAAATCAGCCAAACTGTAAACAACCAACAAGTGAATAGAAAAATTTGGTACATCACTCACACCATAGAATACTACTCAACAATTTTTTAAAAATGTACTATTGATAAGTGTAACAACATGGATAAATATCAAAAGCATTATGCCCTGGCTGGAGTGGCTCAGGTTGAGCACCAGCCTGCAAACCAAAGGGACGCTGATTTGATTCCCAGTCAGAGCATCTGCCTGGGTTTTGGGCCAGGTCCCTGGTGGAAGGGAGGGGTGTGAGATGCAACCACACATTGATGTTTCTCTCCCTCTCTTTCTCCCTCCCCACCCTCTCTAAAAATAAGTAAAAAAACAAACAAAAAAAGCATTATGTTAAGTAAAAGAAAGCAAACTTAAAAAGCTACATACAGTATAATCTTATTTATATAACACTGTGTAAAGGCAGAACTCTCAGAAACAAATAGAGATCAGTGGATGCCAGAGACTG